GTAGATGTCATGCAGGGCTGTACTCAATCAATCTTGGTGACCACAAGGGGGTTGTTCTTTAAGGTATTTCAACACTGAAATGTTCCTTGTCAATCCACATATCTCGCTGTTCCATTTACAGCTGAATCAATTTTATTTCCTAGTCTAGTATTAACATTTCATTCATTTGCTTCATCATATAGGGGAATAATGCAAGAACTGACTGTATTAAACATGGGTAAACGCTGGGAGACTTTCTGGTTAGTGCATGGAAATAAAAAACTACAGTACAGTAAAAAGCCATTTACTTAAAAATAACTCCTTAGTCTCCGCCTTCATCCTTCTGATTTTTATCCAGGTTATTTGCATAAGGACATCTCTGTAGAATGTGTCATTTTCGTAGTGGTTTTTTAAAAAAACCAGAAAACCACATAGAGAGAAATGTATCTCTTTTGGTGGTTCTCCCAAAATCCGTTTTAAATGCACGTAGCACAAAACCCCCCGATCCTTTTTGTCCATAATGTTGCAGGCTTCTTATCAGAAGGTACAAAAGTAAGGCTGTGCAATTCTCCCCTCCCTACAAAAATCTGCTTCAGGGCCCAGTTCAGCAATTCAGATTGGGCCCCAGTTTGGTCTGGACCTGATTGGACCCAGCCTGGACCCTGGATCCAGAAATCTAGTTCATGTTGGGTGCAAGACCTCTTCGACCTCCCTTGTTCTAATGCAGTGTTCTTAAGTGATTGGAACAGAGGATAATGACGAAAAATGCTTCCATCGCCTTGCATGGACTCCAACTCTGCTTCTTAAACGAGAAGGAAATTAATCCTTCACAAACATTTTTACTTGGTATTGTATTGATTTTAAAATCTTATAATGCACAATTAGACAGAGTTTTGAAACAGAAAATTGCTCTCGGCTGCAGTGAGAGGAGTTTGTTCCTCAGTTCATTCCCAGCACTGCCCGCCTGACTGCGCAAACCTCATAAATAATTTTATCCTGTAATTAATACACTGATTAATTAACAGCACTGGGTAAACAATTGCCAGTCATAACAGATTTCATTAATTCACTCCCCCCCCCTTTACTGTTCATGAACCATAAGCCATCTAATAAAGTTATGTTCATTTCTGAAGTAGATTATACATTTGTACATACATATATGTGTGTGGATGGATAGATAGATAGATAGATAGATAGATAGATAGATAGATAGATAGAGATCAGGCATGTCCAAAATCCATTTCGGGGGCCTAATCCAGCCCACCGGTTGGTTTAATCTGGCCCCCTGTTTAATCTGGCTCCTGGGGTAAAATCCTAAAAAACCTCAACAACTTCAATCCTAAAAAAAAGGTTAACAACTTTGGTCAGCCCTTTGGTCGGCTTCACTTCATCAAATCTGGCCCTCTTTGAAAAAAGTATGGACACCACTGAGTATAGATAGATAAGGATAGATAGATAGAGATAGATAGATAGATATAGAGATAGATAGATGACCTAGAATTGAAAAGCCCTTCTTAAATAAGAGATCACAGATAAGTGTATACAATACAAGGCATGGGGATCTAAGGGAATACTAGGAGTATTGGACTTGTTTATAAATGGATGACTCCTCATAGCTAAATGCCATCTTTGGTGGCAGTCCTCTGGGTAGTCTGCAAAAGTGGCAAATCCGCACATTTGTGAAGGTGCTGCCAAGTAATGAGGTGGGCTTGGCTTGAAGGGAGACACAAAAAAAGGCCACTATTGATTGTTTAGTGTCCCATAGTGGGTAATATTCATGGAAGTACAAAATGGATCAACACATCCTGGGCAGTAGACCAAGGAATATTCACATTGACCAAAATGGCAGCCATACAGGATTATGTTAGCAAAGGGCTCACCCACAGTCCCAATTGCCCTGTGCCTAGAAAGCAGATGTCAGGAGCCCAGGCTGCTGTCTTGATAACACAGCACACAAGTCGTAATTAGCTTGAAGATTTGTTGCAAAACAAACAATCAGCCTCACTCTATTGGAGCTTCTGTATCTTACGATTCAGTTGACCCTTCTGAGGAGTTCTTCCTGGTTCTGCAGAATATCCTGAACCTACGACTCTTACATTTCTGGTTTTGTTTCCTGTCTAATACCTTTCCCATAGGGATGCGGGTGGCTCTGTGGTCTAAACCACTGAGCCTCTTGGGCTTGCCAATCAGAAGGTCAGCGGTTCAAATCTCCACAGTGGAGTGAGCTCCCATTGCTCTGCCCCAGCTCCTGCCAACCTAGCAGTCCGAAAGCACACCAGTGCAGGTAGATAAATAGGTACCGCTGGGGCGGGAAGGTAAACTGCATTTCCGTGTGCTCTGGCTTCCATCACGGTGTCCCATTGCACCAGAAGCGTTTTAGTCATGCTGGCCACATGACATGGAAAGCTGTCTGTGGACAAATGCTGGCTCCCTCGGTCTGAAAGTGATATGAGTGCCGCAACCCCATGCCAGTGCAAATAAATAAATAGGTACTGCTGCGACGGGAAGGTAAACGGTGTTTCCGTGCGCTCTGGTTTCCGTCCCGTTGTCCTGTTGTGCCAGAAGCGGTTTAGTCATGCTGGCCACATGACCTGGAAAGCTGTCTGTGGATAAACACCGGCTCCCTCAGCCTGAAAGCGAGATGAGCACTGCAACCCTTTAGTCACCTTTGACTGGACTTAACCGTCCAGGGGTCCTTTACCTTTTTTTACCTTTACTCCTTGGACTCATAGGATTAATTGCCTCCTCTTCCAGTGAGGAAATGTTTCCCCTACTGCTTTCTGAGGCTGCCTGTGCTTCCTGAGTGAGTTGGCTTCTCTCCATCCCGCTGTCTGCTAGCTTCTTATATGCATTCCTTTCTGTGTCAGGGGGAGGGGGAACAGACAGCCGACTGCTCCCAGCTGTCTGAGGGAAACACAAGCTTTCCTGGTGCTGGCTGCTTCTTAACTCATGCTGTGCCTCTCTACTCGGGGCAGATGTGTTCATGACAGCAGGGGTCCAAGCAGTTTTCCACTTGTCCCACACTTTTTAGGCATTGGTCCAAGTGGTTTTGGTTTTGCCATTGCCCCACCAGCTCCCCCCAGGAAACCCACTCTTTAGCGCTAAATTGGAGCAAATGGCAATCTGTGAAAAACCTAGCTGCCATTTGTTCCAACTCAGTGCTAAAGATCGGGTTTCCCAAGGGGAAAGCAGCAGGGCAAATGGGGGTATGGATAAGCGAAACATTTTAAAATGTACTTTATCCCCCTGAAGCTTCCTTGGATAAATGCCTGTCTTTCACCTCTTCGTTGAAGATGGTGTGGTGTTACAAGGTACTGTGCCGCACCTATGGTGGTAATGCCCAAGGCTTTAGATCTTCCTTGGAGACAGCTTTGGTGTGGCAATCAAGGGACAATCAAGAGTGTCCGACACATAAAGTAGTTGTGTTTCTATTGCTGGTTGTGCAATGTTAGCTCTTGATTTTTGTATACCAACAACACTACAGGCTTATCCACACTTCCACTTGTCCTGCTGCTTTCCCCTGGAGAAAACTGCTCTTTAGCGCTCAATTGGAGCAAACAGCAATACAGGTTTTCCCCAGATTGCCATTTGTTCCTATCTATCACTAAGCGGTGGGTTTTCCATTGGAAAGGAACAGGGCAAGGGGGCAACCACTCAGACTCATGCCTAGAATTCTACAGGTCAAGCAGAAAAATGTCCAGACCCATGCTTTCCAGGCATGGCAGAAGCGAAAGTTTGGAAGAGTTCTCAAAGGAGTGTTGGATGTTTCTGAGCTCATATCGTCTCTATTTCTTACAAAGTATACCTAATCAAATGCAACCTATCTACCCTTCCTGTGGGCTTGGGGACCTGCGATGTTTTGATATGTTGTCCAGGCTGTGCAAACCGCTTTAGCAAGTTCTTGGAAATGGCAACCTTACACACATTTACTTAAGGTTAAGCTAACTGGACTCAGTGGGACCTGCGTGTGAACAATCATTAATAGGAAGGAACTTCACAAGAGCTGGTTGAGCCCATGTTGGATCTCACCTGAGGTGCTCACTTTTCTGATTTAAGAATTTAGCTTTATTTTTAAATGTTGTACGTCTTTGATTACGCTTCCACGTTAGAGCGAATTTAAGCAGAATGCTTGTTTTATCTGGCAATACATTGCATCTGCACTTTTGTTGGGGGCAGTGATTATTTCAATTGGTTGCTTTGGCCCCCTGACAGCTGATGCCATAGCCCAGCTTACAGGCTTGAAGGTGGCTTACATCAACTAATAAAATTTGGAGTGCTTTTATTTTCTAGCACACAATATATTGTTATTCCGAGCACATGCGCTGAACCCTGTCCGTGGAGCCTAACCCCCCCCCCAAAGAATGAGACAAGAGACCAAAGTATGAGTTCAAATTGGCCACAACTTTATGGAACTTCAGAATGTGGGAAACTTGGCTTAGGCCTTGGCATGTAACCCTCTCAGCCCAACTGGGACTGAGGATGTGAAGGGCAATGAGGTGTAGTTGGGGGTGGGAACTGTAAAGCACGAACTTACACAGCGTACCCTCCCACCTTACCTCTGTAGCACCCTGCTTGTGGTTAACGCTTAGCTGGAATGAAATATTCAACGCAGCAATAGAGAAATTAAAATAATAATTTATTTGTCAGACAAATAAATGAGAGACACAGTGGTATATGGATACCAAAGCTCTGCCTACTCCAGCCCTGATGGCCAGCACTTATATTTCCTCAGCCCAGCCCCCTTGCTCCTCCTTTGGCTGCCTCTGTCCAATCATCCTGGTTGAAATTCCTATTGGTTGTTTGCTAGAACCAATCATAAAAGATACACCCATTTCCTATTCCCTTTTATGGGAGACAAAAGCTATATTTCCTTGTATCCATAAATGGCAGACAAGTAGCCATATATCTTACATTTACCTCGACCAGGCACCTCAATTACCAGATAACCTTTGGCCCCTGTTGCCCTATTCACCGCAAACCAGATGGCTAAAGCAGATGGTGCATGGTTTCTAATTTTTTTTATCTTAAAGAGATCTTGAGTTCACATTCTCACCCACCATAATAGGAATCTAACATAAGAATCTAACATTTCTTACTTTCTAAATCCTTTGCATAATTACATTTAAGCCAATATATTTCATACATAACATAGATAGATTTTTAGAAGGAAAGGCCTTTTCAAATTAGAAGGAACTTAGTGAAAGCTAAGTTCCTAAGTTCTATAAAGAAACCTTTCCCCTATCCAGCAGCTGTTTCTAAGAGCAACCTCTTCCATTTAACCTTTAACCTTATGGCTCGAGTCTTCTGTTAAACAATAAATTTCACTATTTACCAGTTCTTAATTGTGTTTTTACAGCTTGATTGTATTCTGGTCAGTGTGACCTTTTGCTCTCTGGCTCTAATTTCCTTTTACAACCTTGAAATACTTTTACAACCCTGAAATACTGCTATTTATAGCAGTGGGGCCCTTGAACAGCTGTCAGAGTATTCAAGCTGGTCTTCTCCCTGGCAGAGAAAAATATATTTACAAATATAATTTTTTTAAGCTCAAAGCAGATTTTGATCAGATGCCTCATTCCCCCCTTTCAAGCTCAAGGACCTTCATCCCAAGTGTCCTTGATAGCTTGACCTTCGTCATATTCCTGAGGTAAAGCTCTGTATAGGGCCATAATATGAGGTAAAGTTTCATTTGAAATCATCTTGCTAATTGTACTTCTAAAACATGAAATGATACATGGCACCGTACATAAAACCATTACTACTACCGTCAAGAAAAACAAGCAAGACAATAGTATCCCTTTGAGTCCCGCAACATTAGGTAACCAATTGGTGAGCCATCCCATATCCCATCCTTCCCATATTTGTACTGGGACATGTGCTATACTCTCCATCTTTGTGGCCAACACACGGATTGCCTCACCATTATCAGAAATGTTAAAGCAACAGGCATTCCCTGTCAAGTTTAAGACTCCACATAGGCCTCCCTGCCTGGCAAGTACATAATCCATTCCCATTTTCAGCTGCAAAATGGCGGCTCTACTTTCATCCAACTGTTGTGCAATAAGTCTCAAACTCTGGGCCGTTGCATTGGTTACAAGTTCCACTACTGCTTGCAATCGAATTATTCTGTTTAGATTATAAATAGGATCCCGTGCCCCTTGTATGAGCTCATCAGGATTCCAGGAGGCAGGCTCATAATAGGCTATAATGCGCTCTGGTGGCCAATCATCAGTATCACTCCAACTTTGGGTACTTCCTCCTGCTATATGAGAAATATCAGCGTTTCTTCGTGTACGCTTTGCCGAACTAGTGGGCATAATCCACATTGGTGGTAATACCCATCCCAGGAAACAAGTCCCACTCCATTTGGGAGGGAGTTGCTTGTATGCCCATTCTCCACATATCCACCACAACCATCGGGTCTGAGGTTTTTGGTACGTGGAGTGCATAAGGCGAAATATCAAAAGGGGCATAGAGTTCACAGTGCAGTATGTTAGATTGCCTTTTTCTGTCACAGTTATGTTCCACACCAGTTTCCATGCATGAATAAAAGGAGGTGCACAGGGCAAGGTATTCCGAGTTCGATAGGTAGTACCGTTTGCCCAGGTTTGACTATTCTTAATATAATCCCAAGTATAGTGGCAATGAGAAGAGCCTATCATGATAGAATCAGCTGCAGCTGATAATTTATGTACACAGAATTCCCCTTGCACAGGTATAACTCGTATTGGTTTAGTTGAGTTCCATCCGGGAAATTCTGTACTTCTGTTTGGTGTGGCATTTCGCTTACCATACCAATGGCATTTAATGGTATCGGTAATAAGGGCATACCTCCCTCTGAATCATCTGGTCCAAGAGAGCAAACAAGGCAATTGGTCCTATTTGTAACATTGGCTACCATCTCAGCTAAGCCTACCCACATATTGTGGTCATGGCGGAATCCATATTTAGCAAATTTGGTCAGATTCAAGGACCCTTCCCCTTCCCAAGGGATCAGGATTAATAATAAAATCATGTTGATGTCTAGTATATGCATTTCTTCCACAAAGATTACCTTATTGTGATAACAAAAAATATTAGGCCCAATATAATTCCCCAATGACAGAAATGGGGAACCACCAAGACCAAAACATATATCCCGAGGATCCCCAATGAGTAATATCCCTGATAATTGTTCCACAAGGGGGCAGTCAATCAATTGTATAAGAGAATCTTCCTGTTCACAATCGCTGGTTCAGACGCTCCTCAAGCTTCAGGCGTGCGCAGGTCAGCCAGCTTCCAGGTTGTGGCTGCAGCAGGCCGGTCGTCTAATGTTGCCCGTGACCTAGCCCGTTCCCCGTAGGGACTAGATACAGGGGTTTTGGAGAGAGTCAGTTTAAAAGGATTAGAGGGGTCACCTTTGCACGTCCAACTGCCTTCGGACTTCTTCAAGCGGGAGTGATGAATCCAGGGGTCACCTCAGCTACCTTCACCGCTGTTGGAGTAGAGAGCAAGACGGTGTAAGGCCCACGCCACTTAGGTGCAAGTGGATCACGTTTCCACTCTTTCACCCATACGCTATCGCCAGCCTGGAACTGATGAATCGGCTCGGCAATGCTGCACGGCGTGCGCTCGAGGGCCCACCTGTTAAGAGAAACAAAAACACGGGAGAGAGATTGCACTTGTCCCTGTGTCACATGGTCTCCTATTTGTTTGAGGTCAGCTGGAATATCCTGAACAAAGGAGGGTGGCCTCCCATACAGGAGCTCAAAGGTGACAACTTAAGTCTTTTTGTGGGTGCACACCGAACACGAAACAGTGTTATGGGTAACACATCTACCCATCCCAATCCTGTTTCCTGGGTTAATTTTGCCAATTGGGTTTTCAGAGTCCGATTCATTCTTTCAGTTTTCCCGAACTTTGAGGCCTATATGCTGCATGCAGTCTCCATTTCACTTGTAGGACTCGACATACTTCTTGTACTACTTGATCAATGAACGCTGGCCCATTATCACTTCCAATGCATCTAGGTAATCCAAACCTCGGGATCAATTCAGTGAGGAGTCTCTTAGTTACCTCTCGTGCCTTTTCAGTCCTGGTGGGAAAAGCTTCAACCCATCCGGTAAGGGTATCTACAAACACAAGGAGGTACTTGAATCCCTTAGAAGGGACCAGCTCTGTGAAGTCCACAATTAGGCTTTCCATGGGGACGTATCCCACATGTTGGATTCCAGGAGGTTGTACCGGTCCTTGCCTGGGATTGTTTTTAGCACAAAGAACACATTTCTGTGAAATGCAAGTTGCTAATTGTGATAGGTTAATAATATACAACTTCCGACTGAGACTCTCTCTGGTTGCAGTACCGCCAAGGTGAGTAGATTCATGATAATTTCTTACAATTGTGCCTGCTAGGTGATGAGGTACATAAATCCTATTGTCCGGCAGGATCATCCAACCGTCCTTCACAACCGCTCCTTCCTGTTCAGCCCACTTCCTCTCTTCTGGGGTATAGTGAGGTTTAATTTCTTCTGGAACTACCTCTGGTATGAGGGCTGCTATAAATCCTCCCACAGGCTTCTGGGCTGCCTCTCGGGCTGCTTTGTCAGCAGCATGATTTCCTCTGGTTATTGGATCCCTTCCACGTCCATGACCTTTGCAGTGCATTACAGCAATCTGTTCTGGAGCCCATACTGCTTCCAACAGGATTTCTACTTCAGGTCCATATTTCAAGGCCTTCCCATGGGCTCCGATTAGACCTCTTTCTTTCCATAGAGCTCCATGTGCATGCAGGGTTAAGAAGGCATATTTAGAATCAGTATAGATGTTTGCCTTACATCCGGCTGCCAATTGCAGAGCTCTAGTTAAACCTATAAGTTCAGCCTTTTGTGCTGAGGTGCCAGCAGGCAAAGCTTCAGCTTCCACAACTTCCTCATTGGTGACCACAGCATATCCTGCTCGTCTGGCACCTTCATGCAGGTAACTGCTACCATCAGTATAATATACAACATCTGGATTTTTCAATGGTTCATCTTTCAGATCGGGTCTACTGGAATACACTTCATCCATTATTTGGAGACAATCATGTGATTCTTCATCATCTACCTCTGGTAGGGGCAGCAAAGTTGCTGGATTGAGCATATTCACTACTCGTAGATGAATCCTGGGATTTTCACACAATAGGCCTTGGTATCTAGCCATCCTTGGATTCGTTAGCCAATAACTACCCTTATATTCCATGAGTGTCAGAACAGCATGAGGTACATTCACATACATCGTCTGGCCAAAGGTAAATTTATCAGCTTCTTTGACAAGGCTTGCAGTGGCCGCTACTGCCCTTAGGCATGGAGGCCATCCTTTTGCTACTGAGTCCAATTGTTTTGACAAATAAGCTACTGGACGGTTCCAACTTCCTAATCTCTGGGTCAGGACTGCTGCTGCAATCCCATTCTGTTCATGTACATACAGCTGAAAGGGTTTTTCTGAATTAGGCAGTCCCAGGGCTGGGGCCTCCATAAGTCGTTGTTTGATAACTAAAAAGGCTTGTTGCTGCTCAGGTCCCCATACGAATGGGTCCTTTTCTGCACCTCGAGTGCTTTCATGTAAGGGCTTGGCCAGACTGCTGAAATCAGGTATCCATAGTCTACAAAACCCTGCTGTTCCCAGGAATCCTCTGAGTTGTTTCCTTGTGGTAGGTTCCTTGATAAGGCAAATAGCTTCTTTCCTCTCTGGTCTCAATGCTCGTTGTTGGTGTGAGATGTCAAAGCCCAAATATTTGACCTTTTCTAAACATAACTGTGCCTTTTTCTGGGAAACTCGGTAGCCAGCTTCCCAGAGCAAGTGGAGCAGTTCCTCTGTCCCTTCTTTACAGGTATCAAAATCCTTTGCCGCTAGTATAAGGTCATCTACATATTGCAGAACCACCTTTTTTCCAGGTATTGAGGGGTAACTTGTTAGATCCTTCGCCAAGGCAGTGCCAAATAAAGTTGGGGAATTTTTGAATCCCTGGGGCAATCTTGTCCAGGTTAGCTGGCCTTTTGTTCCTGTCAAAGGGTCTTCCCACTGGAAGGCAAATATAGGTTGGCTCTGTGGTGCCAGCCGGCAACAGAAGAATGCATCTTTCAAGTCCAATACAGTAAAAATGTTGCTTCTGGTGGGATCAAACTCAGCAAGGTATATGGGTTTGGTACATTTGGGTGCAAGGTCTCGATAGCCTGGTTTACGAGCCTCAAGTCCTGTACTGGCCTGTATTCATCTGTCCCAGGCTTCCGAACAGGCAAAAGGGGTGTGTTCCATTCTGATTGGCAGGGCTTAAGCAGACCATATTTTAATAGGCGGTCCAAATGTTTCTGGATGCCCTCTGCTGCTCGCCGGGGTAAAGGATATTGCTTTACAGATACAGGGGTAGCCATAGGTTTTAGGGTTACTACAATTGGAGCTATATTCTTAGCCATTCCTGGTGGGCTATTTTCAGCCCATACTCCTGGTGGCACTTGTAGGGTTCGGAGGAGCTTGTTTAATTCTGTATCCAATGTGGGTTGGACTTGCAGGGCTGACATTAGGCGCCATGATTGTTCCTTAGGTATTGAGAGGGAATTATTCCTGCTGCCTTTGATGGCAGTTTCATTTCTGGACCTCGAGGAGTGAAGGTGATTTGGGCCTGCAATTTGGACAGCATATCTCTACCTAAGAGAGGCATTGGACACTCAGGTATATACAAAAACTGATGGGTTAAATGATGTCCCCCAATCTGGCATTCTAAAGGTTGGAGGAAAGACCTCTTAGCTGACTGACCAGTGGCACTTTTAATGACTACACTTTTGGATGCCTTTTTCTGCAAAAGTTCTGGGAGTACTGAGTATTCAGCGCCAGTATCTATCATAAAGTCTATTAAATGGCTCCCTAATTGAATTTTGACCGTGGGCTCCTGGAAGCCTAACTTTATGGAGTCCGGTCGTTCCTAGTCTTGGGTAAAATCCTCCTCTGCCAGTCCAATGAAATTGTCTCTACTCCGTCCTTGTCCAGGTCTCTGATATCTTCCATCTCGGATCATTCCCCGTCCCCGTCCCTGGTTTCTTGGGCCGGAGCCTGGGCCTGGGCCTGGGCGTACTTCTTCCAACCTCAGGGGTTCAGGACACTCCCGCTCCAATGACCCTCCTTCTTGCAATTCGCACATTGATTCCTTCCCAGTGGTGGATTCCTTCCCCGCCCTCTCCCTCCATTTAAAGGGCGGTAGTCTTGCTTCACTGCTGTGGCTAGCATCACCATCTTTTCCTTCTGCCACTTCTTCTTCTCTTGTTTCTCAGCCTCATCCCTATTCCGATAAACTCGGCGTGCAATGGCCATAATTTGGCTCATCAGCATCCCTTCCCATCCTTCTGACTTCTGAATTTTTTTTACGAATGTCAGAAGCACACTGAGCCACAAAAGTAGCAGTAATCATTCTGCTGTTTGCAGGGGCTTCAGGGTCAAAAGGAGTCCATATGCGATAGGCTTCCTGCAGCCTCTCTAAAAAGTCTCCCGGACTCTCATTTGGTTTCTGTTCTACTTCTGAGACTTTAGTCATATTAGTGGGCTTCTGGCATGCCCTGCGGATACCTTGCACAAGCGTCTGGCGGTAGGTGGTAAGCCTGGCCAGGTGAATTGCATTGTTTGGATCCCAATTAGGATCCTCCAAGGGAAAATTGTCCTGGAGATGACGGTCAACATTAAAAATATTTCCCACTCTGGCCTGCTCACGCAAATATATCTGTGCCTTTTCAATTATGTCTCTTCTTTCCTCAGTGGTGAACAGAGTATTCAGGAGCTGGCGGCAATCTGTCCAAGTAGGACTATGAGTATTTACTATTGAAGTCACCAAGTCCATCATAGCCTGAGGTTTTTCTGCGAAAGACGGGGTGTGTGTTTTCCAATTCATCAGATCCGTAGTTGTGAATGGAATGTACTGGAGGGTCGAAGTTCGAGGTGGCCGTGGTCCGAGTTGCCCGTTAACCAGCACAGGCTCCTCAAGTGCATCAAATACTCTTCTGAGAGGGGCTACTACGTGACCTTTCTCTTCGCTTTGCTTTAGGGGCCTCAAATCATAGGGGATAGTATTTGTCCCAAGGCGTTCTTTTAACAGCTTTATACGCCTGGCTGTATTGCTTACTGACCGATCAAAGTCTCCCTGTAACTCCTGTAATAGTTCTCTAGGACTTGGATGTACAGGGGTTTGGGGTGGGCAATCAGTTGTTCCACTAAAGGAGACTGTAGATGGAGTTCTACTGGGACTCACAGGTGGAATAACCACTTCTGCTTGGGCTTTATTATAGGACTCCAATGCCTCCTGAAGATATTTATCATAATCTATCAAGGAATCAAGCTCTGTGACTCCAGCCCCATTATTCCTTCCACTTTCTTGCCTTGGGGTTACAACTGGTGGAGTGTTTGGATTAGGCTCCCTCGATGTGGAGCATAGGGTGGAGGTGGAAGCACCTCTTCCTCTGGTCCCTCAAAAATGGGTTTGAGTTTATTTGGCAAGATTCCTTTCCTAGCTTCGGCTTTTACAGCCAATAATTTGCATTGTTGGACTTTGCATTCCCTTATCCATGGAGGATTATTATTTAATGTGCTCAGCCAAGAATCTATATATGAAAATTGTTCTGGGCACCCTCCAGTTTCTTTGGTGATGTTAGACCAAAGTTTGCTTGCTAAATTTATATCAAAACTTCCCTGAGGTGGCCATCCAGTATTTTGTTTTGGCCAGTCTAATTCACATAACGTTCTCAAGCGCTCTGGCGTCATTTTGACTCCATATGCTCCTGAGAAGGCTTTCTTAAAATTATTTAACATACATTCAAGAGGTGTATTTTCCCCTTTGAACCTCCAACTCCCATTGTATGGCCCTGTGAAGTATCCACTCAGTCACTCACACACACGCTTCGTGGGGATCCTTGCCTAGTGAAGTCGCCTTACTAGGAACCGAAGTACTACCCACTCCACACTCAGGTCAGCTACAAATTGTACTTTCTCACACATACAATGCGCTGGATACTTCACCACACTCTACCTCCCAATCTTTCCCTTTTCCCTCCACCAGACCACCATCTGATGTACCCAACCACCTAGCGTACTCAGTTCCCCCTTACTGAGACGCAGAAGTTTGATCAAGACTTCTCTTCCTCCCAATTAATTGGAGGGCCACAACCCCTTTGTGCACTTACCCTTAGCTGGTTCCCTGTTTATTTCTCTGGTTACCCCGGTCCGTCGCCGCCAGTGAGCAGGGTATCAGACAGACGAGACTTCTGCGTTCCCCTGGAAAAATGTTCCAGTGCGCGCTGGGTAAGCGGTCAGTGGTCCTCCCTCTTGTACCCTGCCCGCTAGGGCGAAGGGGCTGCGTTCCAGCAGACCACTTATCCGAGTCACAGAGGCACCATAAAATGTAGCACCCTGCTTGTGGTTAACGCTGCTCTGGAATGAAATATTCAACGCAGCAATAGAGAAATTAAAATAATAATTTATTTGTCAGACAAATAAATGAGAGACACAGTGGTATATGGATACCAAAGCTCTGCCTACTCCAGCCCTGATGGCCAGCACTTATATTTCCTCAGCCCAGCCCCCTTGCTCCTCCTTTGGCTGCCTCTGTCCAATCATCCTGGTTGAAATTCCTATTGGTTGTTTGCTAGAACCAATCATAAAAGATACACCCATTTCCTATTCCCTTTTATGGGAGACAAAAAGCTATATTTCCTTGTATCCATAAATGGCAGACAAGTAGCCATATATCTTACATTTACCTCGACCAGGCACCTCAATTACCAGATAACCTTTGGCCCCTGTTGCCCTATTCACCGCAAACCAGATGGCTAAAGCAGATGGTGCATGGTTTCTAATTTTTTTATCTTAAAGAGATCTTGAGTTCACATTCTCACCCACCATAATAGGAATCTAACATAAGAATCTAACATTTCTTACTTTCTAAATCCTTTGCATAATTACATTTAAGCCAATATATTTCATACATAACATAGATAGATTTTTAGAAGGAAAGGCCTTTTCAAATTAGAAGGAACTTAGTGAAAGCTAAGTTCCTAAGTTCTATAAAGAAACCTTTTTCCCTATCCAGCAGCTGTTTCTAAGAGCAACCTCTTCCATTTAACCTTTAACCTTATGGCTCGAGTCTTCTGTTAAACAATAAATTTCACTATTTACCAGTTCTTAATTGTGTTTTTACAGCTTGATTGTATTCTGGTCAGTGTGACCTTTTGCTCTCTGGCTCTAATTTCCTTTTACAACCTTGAAATACTTTTACAACCCTGAAATACTGCTATTTATAGCAGTGGGGCCCTTGAACAGCTGTCAGAGTATTCAAGCTGGTCTTCTCCCTGGCAGAGAAAATATATT